AAATTAAAAATGAATTTATTTTAAGCATACAATACTATCCTTTTGTGTAAAGAAACATTTTGTTCATGTAATTTTATTTTTGCTTAATTTTTAGTCATTGAACATTCAACTAAAAAAATCAAAAGCATTGACATATTCAACATAAAAAGAGTACCAAGCAAGATTTTAAAAGTTTTAGGATGAGTTAACCAAGCAAAAAGGAAAAAAAAAATCCTAATGGGCTGCCTAGATTGTGTGATTAATGATGTATTATTTAATTAATAATATCTAAATCAAATGAAAATATTTGAGCAAATACCTAAAACAATTTGAATGGGCAGATTTCAAAAGAACCACCTAACATCACTTTCATTGATAGAAATCATATATCTTTTTTTTTTTTAAATCAAAATTTATTTTTACGTTATTTAAACATAAATGATTTTGATCTTGTATCTTAAAATAAAAACATTAAAAACTAAATATCTAGAGAATTTTGTTATTAATATAGAAGGATAGCATGTGAAACCTTTGATTTACAAATCACACCCTCCGTTAAGTTCTGTTTATTTTTGGCAGTGGCTGGAGATAGATAGGAGCTTCTGTGCAATCTCATCACTGCTGTAGAGCGAGGCGGAAGGTGGAGAAAGATGAGATTTGTGGAGGTCTTTGTACGCCCCGATCGCCTTGCTGCGGTAGGAGTACAGCAGAAAGAGGAGAAAGATGAGAGTTCTAGAAGTCTTTGTATGTTGTGTCCCTTCCTCAACAATTTCAGATAGGAGCGGGGCAGAAGGAGGGAAAAGATGGGAATTTTAGATGTCATTGTTCGTCGCGATCCCGTTGCTATTTTGGAACTCTGGCAACATTGCCAGGATCGAGCAGAGATAGAAGCGGGGTGGAAAGAGGAAACATATGGGAGTTTAGGTTGTCTTTGTTCGCCATGATCTGGTTGTTGCTTCGGAACTCCGACAACCAGCTCCCCACTAACGGAGGCGTTATGGAAGGTGTGAGATTCATAAATTAAAAGGTTTGGGTATGAGATACGTACATATCAGTGTTTCAGATGTTGTGTATGTAAAAGCCCCTTAAAATAATACTTAAAAGTGACGATCCATCATCAAAATCTTCAATTTAAGTTAATTTAGCTCTACCTCGAATATTAAACAAAGCCTCAGCACACATTATAGCAAAAGTTTTAGGTTCAAATATTTCATTTAGAATACCGACTTATAATTAGTCAAATTGTATTCCCCTATCATTTTGTGGGAACAACTCCAAGAGTTTAAGTTGGTAAGAACATCATATTAATGATACTGTTCAAGTTCACCTAGAAGTTGTAGGAAGGGTAACAAGGGTGGGTTTATGGAAGGCGGCTGATAATCATCACGAATGATGATAAAAAAATGAATCAGAAGCAAAAAAAAAAAGGTCAATTTCCTACCGTAAACAACAAGTGGTAGAGTCGTTGATAGCTGTCCGATTGAAAATAGAGGACAAACGATGAATCAACATGGTGCGAACAACGAGAAGGATCCATCACCTATTCCTTGCAAGCTACAAATATGCATGTATTACTCCAACAAGTATAATTCAGAAAAAAATCACTCAAAGTTCCTGAACTCCAAAAACTGAAAATCCAAACAACCCTCTTACAATATAGATATAAGTTCCCCAATAGAAAACACCTAACTTGAAAATAGAAAAATAGAAAGTAAATCATAAAAGGAAAGAAAGGAAGAATAGAAAATAAAAAAAAAGGAAAGAAAAGATAAAACTCTCATTTTTCCTCTACCATTAACCTGTCTTCACAAGATCACAAAGCTAGTAGAAGCTTCTTTTTCCTCTTTGGAAGGATTTGGGTTTCAATGTCCGATATTTTTTTTTTCCCCAAAGCACCTAAGAAGATTTTCAATGTTGAGGCTTACCAGTTTGTCTTAACTGGTCATTTTTTTTGTGGGTGTACCATTAAACTGAACTAAAATTTTGCGCCAAGTTTAATCAATAAAGGTCTCCAAAGCGGTGAAGGAATTTCACACATTTGTCAAATATAATGGCATGTTGGACCCCTCTCAATAAGAGTTGCTCTATGTCTGGTATTGGCTCATCGAACTCATCACTCTTTTGATTCACTAATGCTAGTTTTGTTGATGGTTCTCTCAAGAGCTGCGTGAAGGTTGTCCGAGTCACAACATCCTCACACCTCAGTCTCCTTTAAAGGCAAGAGTACAATGCACTTCGTATCGTTGGTGAAAGAGAATGTATTCATGTTACCATCATGATGTGTGTAGCGATCATACTACCAATGACGACCTAATAGGATATAACAAACTTCCGTATGTACTATGTCACATGACACTTGCTCTTGAAACCTATCCCCAATAGAGAACTCCAAGAGATCTCATGTCAATGCTCTCCTCTTCTTCAACCTAGCCAGTAATATGGTTGAGGCGCAATTTATCCATCATTTGAAAAAAAATCACATATTCACAACTGTCTCTATCTATAATGAGGATGCATACCTTTCCCAACACGCTATAATAGAT